TGCAGTGAAACTACTGCAATTAAGAATGGAGAACCCTCTAAAATGTTTTTTTGTCTTATTCTGATTTGGTTTTCAGTTCCAGAGATATCGTCGTATAAAAACGACTGTATTTCTTCGGCGCCGCTATCACCGTCATTCTTACACGCCTCGGACCTCTCTCTCGCACCTTGACCCAGTTACTAACTTGCTTCGAATCCCCCACCAGCTCGTTTAGGCAACACCTGCTATTGCAGCAAGCACTGGCGCTTTTAAGGGAATATAAGCCTTTCTTTCAAAGAATAGAAGCGTGCGATCCCAAGCTTAAACAGAAACTTTGGAAACGGATCGAGATATCGAGATGAGTCAAAAGATTTTCTAGCTCCGGACTCCTCTGTCTTCTGATTGTATTATCAAGCGTGGATTCAATGTTCTTCGCTCATTATTTTTGAAAATGTCCAACATTAATAAATTAATCACATTAATAAATTATACATATAAAGAATTATGATAAGGATTATACATGAGTACTTGTTTTCTAGAGCTATATTAGATAAGTTTGAATAGGAAATATGAGTATACGTCAAACTGTATTTTAATTTAAGGTTGCAGTGATATCTAATTAGTATATCTTTTAAATTATTTCATCCTATTTCCTTCTTTCTTTCTCTTGCTGAACTTTTTTCATCAGAAACTTTTCCTTCCCATGATCATTCCACCGACTATCTATCTCGCTTTGCCTATGGCAGCAAGAGAGACTGTACTTTCTTTGTCTAGCCTGCAGTTTCTCGTACCTGTATTAAATCCCAGGCGGACGAGTAGTTCGGGTAATCTTGTAAACGAGAAGTAAGCGCGGCGTTAATCCGATCGCGCAGCGTACCGAACAGTAGTGTGGCCTCCTCCCCTCGCAACGTTATCAACTGCTTGTCCTGTTGGAAAATTGCATGGTTAACGATAATCCCAAAAGCGTGAAAACTGTATCGAATAGATTTTTACATTGCACGTTAAACAATTAACAATTTTAAATGTCTTGTATTAATTTGTTTTAGTTAAATGATAATTAATATAATTATATAATTCCTCGTCATTATCTCCAATTAGAAGATAATTTATATACCACTAGATTTGAAATTTTGCTTGTACAGTTAGTTCCATGTTTGCTTTTAGCAGTTTCCGTTTTATATAGTTATATTATCTCTACGGTGTTTACCCTTCACAATCTGCACATCGTTGCACACGATAATATGAGAATATTAGAGCGTAAAGTTTACTCAATAAACAAGACAAACAAGATAAAGTCAGCGATCACAATTACACATAATCACTAAACTATTTTTATAATCATTCGTTAATTTTTTATATGCTGCATTATTGATGGACGTGAGAACCTGTACCTTGATTAACTAATTTAACCTTGATTAATCATTGTAACAGTGTATACGTATAGTCGTCTCTGCATTGAGCAAGAGCGTGCATGTACAATAAAAGTTGCAGGAATTAACGCGTGCAAAGATCGCGTGGCGAAAGATTCCTAGGGGTGCGTTTTTACAAGCGGCTTTTGTGGCTTCATTAAGACCGATTGATAGGATGAAGAACGGCGCAGGATCGCACGCGACATTCTCCTACTCGAGTAAATAAGATTGTTTGCTCTGGTATTTCACTTATTTTCAATGTCTGCCTTCTATGTTGTAGAAAGGAGGAGTAAATCGCGAAAAACACTGA